TATGTATTTTTTACCACAATAAAACCATGTCAAAACCATGTTATTAAGTAGGGAAAACAGGTGATTCAGATATGGAAATCACAGTCAGGAGGCCTTGGCCACCCTGAGGGCTGCAGTAGGCAGAGGGTAGGTAATGAGATCTTAGATGTTGGGTGGTACAGAGCTGCATCTCAGAGCTCTGCCCTGCTGGATCTACAAGTCATATTAGAAAGTAAATAATACCTTTTTTTATAATTTCCTAATGTATTATTGCTTTGTAGAATATGAAAAAACTTTTCCACCCATTTTTTCATATTTTGCTTTGAATTAAATTTCCTATGACTTTACTATGCCTAATACTGACTTTCTTGAGGGGTCCTGCTCTATCCATTTGCAAATCCTCTCATGGCAACACATGATATACCAGTCTCCTTAGAGCAAAGTGCAACTCCTGTCATCACAAACATATGCATGTTTGTGACTCTAGATATGTAAGCAGAATTGCATGCACAGTGTGTTACAATATCAAAACAATACTCACATTGGAAAGGTCCCATATGTTTCAACCTCTGTTCTTCAACTCCTCATTCTTTCAGAAATTAGTGCATGTACCACCACATTCTGTTTGAGCAGTGATTCCCAGAGGGGACAGATACAGAGACAGAGAGGAGGGAACAAATGGACTGCTGGGATCCCTGTTAGGAAGTGTACCTGTAGCTTAGAGGAGATGGGCATGGGTCTAGGGTGAAAGTGTTCCCTAATACAGTCATAGCTGAGGGCTCACACATTCCAAGAGTGAGCTGCAAATGAGAAAACCTGATTTGTGCCAAATCAAGACAAAAGGACATTTCTGTATCCAGTAAGTGCCTGTGGGCTGCCTCCCGGGTATGTCATAAATTAAGATATAGCAACCCCTGTAACTAAGTTCCAATCATAGAGAGGAACATAACTGCTAGCCACCACAGTTGCTATTTCTAGATGCTGACAGATGGGTGTTTTGGCCAGAGGCGGGAACCTAGGTAGGCCACAAATCTTCTACTCTGTTAGTTAGTGAACAGCTGTTCACTAACTATTGATAAGTGAATACATGCTGGTCACACCTTCAGGAATTTTACATGGAATATGCCATATGCTGTGCATTACTTTTCCTCCTTTTAAAATGTAGGCTTCTTAATGGTGGCTGATTAAATGGAAATTTGAATCAATAACTACCTGGCTGCACATGATGGATTTTTTTACTACCATGTTATGTAATGAGTAGAAACTACTTTTGACACCAGGCCCTAAATGAACTAACAAGCTAGCTAGCCAAACCCCACTGACAATGTGGTAGATGCTTAACACAAGGAGTCCTCTAAGAGGAATAGCTCGGGCTGATATGAGTCCAGCAGTGATACTCCACGATATCCCTGCCTGGTCATTAGTCTTTATCTGCTCATTTTCTTACTGTTCAGAGTTCAATCACAGGCTGAGACCAGAGATTGAGCAGCAGTGTTCATTCTGAAATGACAGACGGAAGGGGAAATTTACAAGGACTTGTATAAGACACATGATTACATAAAAGTGTGTCAGGATCTAGCTTGAACTTTTTTTATTCGGTACTTGACTTGAACTCAGGGCCTACACCTTGAACCACTCCACCAGCCCTTTATTGTGATGGATTTTTTGAGATAGGGTCTCTCAGACTATTTGCCCAGGCTGGCTTCAAACTGCAATCCTGATCTCTGCCCCCTGAGTAGCTAGGATTACAGGCATGAGCCACCTGTGCCCAGTTGGCTTGAAATTTTATTTCTGTGTTTATCACAGGCATGTGGATGTGTTATGGAACTTCATATCAAATTCTAATAACATAAGTGAAGAGAGGTCTTATAGTTTTATTTTGGTGTTTGTGTGTGATTGGACAGGACTATTAGTGGAGATGATTTTCAGTAATTAGTGAGACTTCCTAATGAACTAGATTCGTGTTAAAAATATATGATTTGGACTGATTCTTTGAGGCATCACTGGAAGATTTACAGATGAAAATATAAAGCTTACTATTGGACAGAAAATAGATTTTAGATTATATTCCTCATATCCAATTAGTTAAAACAATAAACATGTGATTATGATAAAAGATTACAAGCCCACTAGAGAATTTGGGTTCACATTCTGTTTATTGTCTAAGATCTGACAGAGTCAGTGTCCTCTACCTTTGCAGTAAATCACTTGTCACTTAGTATTTAAGAAGAGTAAGTGGGAAATGGATGTTAATCTTTTCTATTTGCCACTGTTTTCATGAGAATGGAATGTTTCCTATGTTTGCCTGGCAATTGAATGCCAATTTCCCTTTTCATCATTAAATTGGTGGTAAGGTAGAACATTTAGACAAAAAAATTGACACTCACATAATAATAAATGTGTTTTTATTTTATAAACATAATAGATGGTGTGAACATGATTCAGTTTGTTAGACAATGGTTAGACCACCAACTATGTTTGGGTTCATTGGTGAGATGTGCAATTTCAGGAATCATTATAGCAATAGGTGTTCAAGTTTCCTGGTTCCTTTCTATGACAAAAAAACTTCCCAATTTCTGAAATGACCCCTTTAGAAAGATGACATATTTAATTATTCAACAACTGAGAATAAAAACAAATGAAAAATTTAAAACATGCAATATTGGCTGACTTAACTCTGCTACACAGGGTCTGGTGATCTTGTCAAAGGAATTGAGAATTAAGTTGTGCTAAATTTCAATCCCATTAAACCTCCTCCAACAAAGATGAAGACACTGACACACCCCATAGTTTGTTTCACTGAAGGCTGGAGGGACCCTGTAGAGAAGAGAGGTGGCCTGGCCAAGAGGAGGTCTTAGAAAGTTCTGACAGTCCTGAGGCCATCAAGAGGGTCCTCTTTTGGAATTTGAGTTCCTTGCTTACTGATTACTTCTTTGTGAATCTGACCCCATGACATTGCCTGATCAGAAACTGAGCACTAACTCTGCACCGTGGAATTGCTTAACATCTTTCTCCTCTTGTATTTCAGTGTCACTATGTAGACATGTCATATTTCATGCTCTAATGGTTTCTCTAGAATAAGTTTCCCCAGTCCCTTTTAAAGACATCTTCTTTTAAGGCTTACGTTTCTCCATACATGCCCATTCTTCCCTTATTAGGACTATTCACTTAGCTACTGGTCACTCCCTCTCATTTAGGAAGGGCTCTGGAGTCACGAATTTCTTAGTTACTGAAATTTTGCCCTTAGCCATGTGGCCAATCCATCTTTCCTCTCACAACCTGGTTATCTTACTCATTTATTTTCCCCAGTGCTAAGTATTAAACCCAGTGCCTTGCACAAGCTTAAGTGTGTACTCTACCACTAAGCTACATCTCTAGTCCCCTCACTCATGGTTATAGCCACACTTTTGACATTGCTGCCATGCAAAACCAAACTATGTCTTAAATTACTAATTTAAGGTACCAAACATCTGAGTATCAATTCCTATCCATCCCCATTGCTCAAATAATCCTATTACAACTGCATGTATTTCTTACTTTGGACTTCTATCATTTGTTTAAATTACCTCCAATGTGTTCACTTCTTTTCTTGACAACCAAGACTTATAGTAATGCTCTCCTTCTGCCTCATACTCTAAAAAAATGCATTTTCACTATTGAACGTTGGCATTTCCAGATTTTCCCTTGCTTAAGCTCAGGCTTCATATCAGTAACTCAGATTTTTGTGCACTAATGAACCCTTCTCACAAGTGTTTAAATTTACTCATATGCTCAAATCTTATAATTTACAAAAGCATACTTTTCCCTCCAACATGACACTTAACCTTTTAAAATTACATTTCTAGGATAATTTTTTATACAATTATTTCCATTTCCTTATAAGCCATTCCCTCCTCTGTTGGCACCAAACTGGTGTGACCCCTCCACATGGCCAACTCTGCATTTTCCAGGAATAACAGTACTCTCTGTATTAAGAATTTGATGAAAACCTCTTATGCTTTATCTTGTCTACTTACCACATCTTCCTACTCACTGGGTACTTCCCTTCTTCCAATTTGGGCTTCCTCTTTCTTAGTTTCTTAAAGATTATTTCATGCTCTGTTATTCACCCTCATTTGGTTTACAATAAGGTTTCTTTGATGGATTACATCATAAAAATTAAAATCAAACCAACTTCCTCTTCCATGTGAGCTACTATAATGACCCCAACAATTTTGATTTATTTTTTCTCTGAATAGCAACTAGATTTGTCATTGCAATGATAATCAATCATTTCTCCAAAACTCCATAGAGCTTTTAATGATCTAGACAGTCTAGCCCCTGCCTCTCTCCAGACTCAGTCCTTCTTCCACTTCCCCATTTCTTCTTCCCTCCTTACTTCCTTCCCTACTTTCTTCTTCTCCTCCTTCCTTCCTTTTTATTTGTTTCTTTCCTAGAATTTCATTAAACAGAAAAACCTTTACAAGTCTAAGTTATTGAAATAAATATTTGGCACTTTAAAAAAATTCTTATTTGTTCTTTGGTAACCACTGGAGATAATGCAAGTAAACATCAATTTCAAATATTTTTTAATGAATGAAAAAATTTCATTCATTCTTTGTACAGTCATTTAATATACCCCAATATCACCCACCAGATTTTAGATCTTCAAGGCCAGTCTTCAAATGGTATTAAAAAAAAAAAAAACTCACAACTTTCTATACATAGTCTATATAAGTAAGAAAGAAATGCTATGCTAGAACCTGAAAGAGATGAGTGGAAATCACTTGGCACTAGAATTGTGCAATCAGATTTTGATCAAAAGGTAGAAAAAAGTGCCTTAGGACAAAATTTCCCCCAAATGGAGCAATTTCTCTCCTGATTGGTTATTGGCAAAGAGGCATTGAAAAACTGTCTCATTATGGCTGGGAGAATTCAATACAGTCTCTGAACCTGCTGTTCTTTTATGCCTACACTTAGGCCTGCATGCTCTATGCAGATCTTCCATATGTAATCAAGATACTTCTTTTCACTCTTACTCCTTAAATGCCACACTTCTTTCTCATGACTTTTCTAAGGGCCTCCTTGAAGTCTGTGTTCCTGAAGCTGTAGATAACTGGGTTTAACAATGGAGTGATTACAGTGTAGAAGACAGAAATGATCTTGTTTATTTCAGGTGACAGGTGTGCATTGGGGTGCACATACATGGAGATCATAGTCCCATAGTAGATAGTGACAACAGTCAGATGAGAGCCACATGTAGAAAAGGTCTTCATCCGTCCAGAAGTGGAAGGGATTCTCAATATGGAGGACACAATGAAAACATAGGACACAAGTGTCAGAACAAAACAAATGCACAGCACTGCAATAGACAGGACAAAGATGGCCATTTCTGTAATGTAAACACTGGAACAGGATAGCTGCATTAGCGGAGGGAGGTCACAGAAGAAATGGTTGATCTGGTTGTGCCCACAGAAGTTCAACTTGGAAATCATCAAGTAAGGGAGAAAGCCTGTGCCCATCCCTGTCATCCAGGAGACTGTCACCAGTGTGGTGCAGACATCTGAGCTCATGAGGAAGGAGTAGTGGAGTGGGCAACAGATAGCCAGGTATCGGTCATAGCCTATCACAGCCAGTAGGAAACACTCAGTAGCTCCAAAGAACACAAAGAAGTAGAGTTGTGCCATACAGGCGGGGAAAGAGATGACATGGCCCCAGGAGGTCAGGTTGGCCAGCAGAAGGGGCACAGTGGTGGACGTATACCAGATCTCCAGAAAGGAGAGGTGTGTGAGGAACATGTACATAGGTGAGCCCAGTCGTGGGTCTTGGCTCACCACTGTGATGATGACTACATTGCCTGTGATGGTGAGGAAGTAGATGAACAGGAAAATGACAAAGAGGAGGGATTGCCACTCAAGAAGGTTTTGAAATCCTAAAAGCTGAAACTCAGTGACAGTTGACATATTTTGGGGTTCTAGTGCCTGTGGGGGACAGAAAACATTTTTGAAAAATATAGTATGAATTGTATAAAAATATTTATTACTATTGATGTTTCTAATGTCAGAAGTTAATTTTTAATAGTTTAGATTTCCATATACAACTTTTAGAGGAACAAATGTGCAATTTTACCTTTCTTTTATACCTTTCTCATATACTTTACTTTTTTTGTTTCTTTGGTTTAGTTTGGTTTTTTGAGATAGGTAGATATGCAGCCCAGGCTGAACTTAAACTCTTCATTCTCCTGCCTCAATTTTCTCAGTGCAGGAGTTTCAGGTGTGCAGCTATACAACCACATTTTGAATGGCAAGTTGACAGTAGGTATTAGAGATTTGACAGGTTCCATTTCTTTGAGTTCTATGACATTGAAGTCTTAGAAGTTATAGGCAGAGAAAGGATTCAGGAGATCACATACAAAATAACAGAAAAAGAAAATTATAACTATAGGAGGAGTTTTATTTTTTGTCAATTATACCAATAAATCTCAAAACCTAAAAACAAAAATTTGTAAAACTCATGCACATATGGAAGCCAATACCTTTCTTGTCTTGAGGAACACAGCATATTTCCTATGACACCTTGAAATAGTATCTCATCCTACCCACAAACAGTATTTACTGGTGCCCTGCTGTGGTAAGTGTGTGTGTATGTGTGCATGTACGATTCTCTGTGCTGAACTAATCTGCGCCTCACTCCATCCATGTCTTTTCTTGCCCAGTTAGGGAGCACACTCATACTTGGCCATTAGAGCCACTTTTGCATGCACACATTCAATACATCACCCTCCTGTGCTTTCACTTAAATCATTGTCAAGCAGTTCTGGATAAAGTCAACATCCACCTGCCATTTGTGAGCTTCCATACCACTGAGTTTGGCTGATACCAAACAAATGATTTGTCACTTTAAAATTCACAAATAATAAACTTCACTGTGTCCTTCATCTGCAGAGCAAACATTCCCCAGTTCCCTGACTATTCTCTTTTCTAGTCTCCTCAGTGACTATTTCATCTATGTTTATATCCACATTCATTTATGTTCTTATTTCCAATTTTCAACACACCCTTGTCTCCCTCAGCAAGAGAACCATTTTACTGAAAAACCTGAAATTGTCCAGTGGAAATATACACAAGTACCACCCATGAAATTTCCCCCTTCTTTTCTGCATCAGTGTCCTTCAGCTTCTTGAGAAAATGGCCTGTGCCCCAGCTAAGGCAGGCTCCTGACTTGAGGATGAGATACTTCTTCCTCCTCCCACCGCAAGGTATTATGGCTTTCATTCCCTTTTGACCCCTGCAGCAGCAAGGCCACCTCGCTGCTGGATTTTTTTCCTGTTTGTCAAAAGACCAGTTTTCTCTCCCATTAAAAAAGACAACACAGTGAAGAAAAGACCTTGCTGCTGCTGTTTTCCAGATGCTGCTGATGTTTGCCTGCTCACTTTCACAGACTCCTTCCCTTTAGGATGATACCACCTCTTCTGGCTGTCATTTTTCCTCTGCTTTCTTTCTCCACTGCAGTCAGGGTTTTCCTTACCACTGCTACAAAAGGACCCTACCGTGAACACCTGACCCGTCATGCATCCTGTCAGCAGCATTCATAGTGGGTCCTTCCCTCTTCCTGATCCTCTGGTCACTTAGGACCCAAGAGTCCACGACAGTCTGGCTTTTCACACTTGTGCACTCTCAGAATGAGTCCGTCTCACTCTATCCATTTCCTGCATGGTCTCATGCAACTTCTTGACTATTTCCTAATTACATATTTATTCGCAGAGCTGTAGAACTCAGAGCCTTGCTCGTTGGACTTTAAATTCCATCTCTTGGTTCCTAACCCTCAGATTCATGAATCAAGTTCCAACACAAACTTTGTGTGAACTACTGTCCTGTTTGGACTACACACTCACATGTCGAATCATCCTTTGTGTGTCCCTGACTTCCCCATCAGTCTCCCTTAGTGCCTGCAGTCTTCCCCACTCACTAATGAGCACTCATCCTCCCACTTGCTCCGGACAGAAAACTTGAATTTGACTCTTGTTTCTCTCAGACCCAATATTAGATTTTTCTGCAAAATCAACTGGCTCCACCTGCAAATATGTCAAGATTCTGATCTGATCCCTATTCACCAACACCATCACTTGCTCCATGGAGAGAGTGCCACTGTCTCCCACCTAAATCATAACAATGCTCAATGCTCCTGTGTCACTCCACCCTGCTGAATAAAGTAGCCTAGGTGAAAGTTTAGACCACAGACAGCTCACATAGGGAAGATAAATGTACTGTGAATCATTCCTGATGTTGCTCTCTTGCTTATTGAACTGTATAATACTGGATTTCAGAAGGGAAAAGGAAACGCTAAGGCCTTGCTAGTTTATGGGTCTTCCTTAGTCTCTCCTCCCATTGCCTTTCCAATCTCTTAATCTACCTTTCTCCATTCTGCTCCTGACACTTCGGTTTCCTTAGTATTTTGCCCCTGTACAGGTTCAGTTCCCTGGGATATTGTCCCTCAGACATTTCTCATGTCCTTCTAGTCTGCTCAGGTGTTATTCTCTCCATCATGCCCAGACAAACTACTCTGTTTTTTCCTAAAGCTTCTGATAGTGATCCAATGCAAAACTGCTGTGTTGATCTTGGCTTCAGGGCAGAAAAATACAGCAATTTTAATCAAAGTCAGTGAGTGTACAAGTAAGGCCTGCTAGAATATTGTTATTTAAGCACATGGATTGATTGGTTCTGAAAGAGGGAGATGTAAGGGAGGATTTCTCAAGATGCTATGATTACAAATTTTCTTAGTAAATTAAAAATAACTTCTTAGAAAATGGTCCTTTCTCACGTTGGCTTTCTCTCCTTTTCTTTAAATCTGACCATGGGACTCAAATTAAAATAAACAGTGACTATATTTAAAAAAAATTAAACATGGGAAATAGTGACATGCAGTCTTGTGAAACCAGAAGCAAAGCAAAACAGCATTGCATTACAACAGACTAAGCCTACAAGACTTTCAGCTGAATGTCTTAGTTATCTAACATCCTCCAACAGCACAAATTCAAATGCTAATAACCTGTTAATCACCATGCATTGCTTAAACACTTTCAGTCTACAGGAGCAGTCACCTCTTAAAATGCAAGTTACTTAAATGCTGATGGTTTCCAAGTGATAAAATTGCCTTAATAACCTCTAGCTGACAAAACCTGCTTCCCCTAATGCTGCTTGCTTCAGCACCAGGGCAAACAAGCCTAACCTTAGATCTAATTTTGTAGCTTTCTTTTAAAATATATGAAGGTTAACTTAACATAACAGAATATTCTCTTATGTAGTCAGGCAGAGTAAATTAAATGGTCTTTTGACTTCTCAAGAACTATTTTTTAGTTACTTTTCTTACTTTGTTTTATATGCTGGCCAATTTAGGCAAGATCATATATTGTTTCCACACAGAAAGATCATATTTACAGGCTAAGATTGCCTTGATGGTGAGTAATAATTTATTGAAGTCCATGCACCTTTAAAATCCAACACCCATAACCACAAACAAAAAAGGAAAAAGTATACTCTTTCATGCTAAAACACATACCATGTTGGTTTCCTCCCGTAAAAAGTTGCATTTACATGCATGAATCTCCTCGTCTGTCCTTCTTGCCAGCATCCAGAGACCTAAGTGGCCCCTGCCCAGTGCCTATTACATACTCTTCCCTCACCCAAATCTGGACTGTGCTTTCATGCTGAGATCTAGATTTTGCCATCTTCTGCTGATGTTTGATGCTGGGGGAAGCAGACTCTCCTTTTAATAACCCTGTCTTGCTTGGGGACCTGGGCCTCCTGAGAATCCTGTTCCCCAGATATTCTGTAATCAACCTTCCAAGTTTTGCCTCTACACACTAGGCTTTCTTGTTGATATAACACAGGGGATAGATGGCATTGATACATTGTTTTTGAAATGGATTTTTTTAAACTAAGAATAGGTTCCAATAATGTTGAAGGAAACTTTGAGTCAAAAGGATGTTTCTTTTCCACTCAGCAAGCAGGAAGTTAGTGAGTGAATTATTCTGAAAACTGAATGCGTAACAGCTGTTTTTTTTTTTTTCGCTTCACTATCAGACATTAATTACAGGTGTGGCTAAATATTTATATACCTGCAAACTAGTTCAGTCATGCAATGAAAGAAATCTTCACCAAGGCTCATTCTAAACTCAAGTCTTTCAGTTAAGTAAACATTACACATGAATTGACTTGAGGGGTTTTGTGGGTTACAGTTTTAGAAGATAAATTGGAAAAGGAACCTATTTCTAATACAGCAGGATTTAATATATATATCTGTTTCCGTTAGTCTGTATAATTGAGAAGAGCTAATTTATTAATATTTCTAGTTAAAATAAATGTGGATCTGATATTTAATGGTCATTTTAAAGATAACCAAATGTTGCTAGAAATCACTAAGAACACTTCAGAGTAGCAGAAATATTACATTTAGTAACAACTGAACTATATTAACACATAAAATAATTACAATATTTTAACAATAATGCCGTCAACATTTTTTTGTGGTACTGGGTTTTCAACTCAGGGTTCATGCTTCCTAGTCAGGCACTCTACCATTTGAACCACACTTCTAGCCCCACCTCGCCCCCTGCCCCAGCAACATTTTTGAGCATTTATTTACTGTAGTCACAGTGATGACAAGTGCTTTGCTCACATTATTTAGTTCACTGGGACAATAGTCCTTCATGCTGAGTATCAGTTTACAAGTGAGAAAGCTGAGGATCAGAAAGTTAATGCTGTAGCCTAGATCTTGACTGTCCCTCCAAAGGCCAAGATGAGAAAGACTTACTCCTCAGCCTGTGGGTCTGTTGTGAGGAGGTAGAAACTTTAGGACAGGGGCCTAGTGGAAGAAGTTGGGTAACTAGAGGCATGATTTTGAAGGGGATGCTGGGACCCTGGCCCTTCCTCAGTCTCTCTTCTTGGCTACCAGAAGGTGAACAGCTTTCTCTACCACATGCTCCTACCATGATGTGTTGTGTGGTCAGAGTCAAAGCAACAGGCAAAGTGATCATAAACTCAAACTTCTTAAACTGAGTCAAAAAAAAAATCTTCCCTCACTAAGGTGATTATTTCAGGTATTTTATCCCAGTAATAGAAAGCTGGCCACGTTCAAGGCACTTATCTCAAAGATTCTACAGTACTATGAGTTCTATCCAAAATATTTGGATATAGAGGACCCATGTGTAAACAAGTGCTTTCCTGCTTCTCCAGTTGCAGAGTGGGAGAACCATGCCTTACCAAATAAACTTGTTCATAAAATACTGAGGGGGAAACTAGCACACATTCACTTCAGCAGAAGTTTCAGGCAGTGGGCACAGGAAGAATGACTATCTGTAGGCTTCCTGGTGCTGCCTTTGCTTTGCAGGTCTGTGCTGCAGAAGTTCCTAGATAAATGAAGAATTTGGTGAGATTTTAGAACCAGGTCTAGAGGAAAGAAAGGAAGCACTGGAGGTATTTCATCTGGATTACAGCAAAGAAGAGAAGATAAATAGAATTATCTTAAGAAAGAAGAATCAAGTTGTTAAGTTTATCACTAGGTTAGATATTTTAAAAGGAAATAATGATTTGATAGGTGAGATAGATATTCAAGTACTTTTATTGAATTTTATTCTATGATTTCACAGATTAAAAACTTATTTTTAAGTAACTAGAGACATAGTTTGTTGACAAAATCTAAATTCAGCTTTGTCAATATAGGTACTGACTCTGCAGATGGACAATGAGGAGGGGATTTTCCATAAAAGGGTTTTACTTCCAAAAAGACACTGTCTCTCAAAAAACCCATCCCAATACTGATATCATTGGTGAGGATTTGATGATTGATGGATACAAATGGAAGAGTAATGAATCTAAATCCTGCAATCTAAATAGTCTGAAGAATTATCTTCACATAATTTATTTTGACTTTTTAAAATAAAGAATGAGTATTATCCAAACTTTACACATCATTTCCTGCTGCATTGTCTATGCGTTTACATGGTATGGTGGGGGCCATTATGAAAATCCTTGCATTATCATTCCAGTAGCACAAATTTTTTCTTTTTTCAAAGACAGGAACTCTTTGGGGAATTCCACCCTTGGTTACTTCTCATGTAAAAGCCCCCTGTTTAAAACATGAATGTTGATTGCACCTCATACATGTAATTAAGATACTTGAGAGTTAGCATAAGTACATGCACAGATGCAAAGATCACAAAGATCAGGAGGATTGCGGGGATGAAGCCAGACCAGGTAAATAGTTTGCACAGCCCTATCTCAAAAATACCAAATGCACACACACACACACACACACACACACACACACACACATACACACACACACAAAGGACTATGAGAGTGATTCAAGTGGTAGAGTACCTGCCTAGCAAGTGTGAAGCCCTGAGTTCAAACAAAAATCAGTGCTTCTACCCCACCTTTCTGGGGCCCACCACTCTTTTTCGGTTCCTTCCCTTCACCTTCAATAAACTTTGCTTTCACTTTCACTACATTTTCATGTCCTGCCTGCATTCTTCTCTTGCTGATGCAAGCACCTGAAATATTCTGCACC